TCTTCCCACAGGATAGTGGACCTTAGCTTTGTGATTGGTAGAATCTCGCAGAAAAACAAAAATCACTTCAGGAATAAGTCTGAAAATAAGTGTTGCCCGTTTAAACAAGTGTCATGTATGTTATTCAAAATGACATCTTCAGTGGTCCCTTCTCTCTTTACTGCAGTGATGTAGAAGTGTAAGTCAGGATGTGTTGATAAACCGATCACTGTTTGGTGTGGTTTCTGGTGCAACAGACTTAAAACTTTCAGCCAGAGAGTCATAAAACAGCCAGGTGCTATGTTACTCTTTAAATTTAGTAAAATTGCATGACATAGGTTATTGATTCCTTGAGGCATTTGGTAATCACAAGAGAACGAGTGGTTCAAGCTCATAACACACTCTCCCAGCCAGGTCTGCAGGGACCCCCTCAACAGAGTCATCAACATCAGCATTGAAGTCTTCTGGGCCACGACTGTGTGCATAAGGAGGGAGATAAGGAGGGTGACAGATGCAATCACAAGCATGTCTTTAAAGTTGCTTGATATAAAAGAAAAAGTGTATCTTAGTAAATAACATCAGCTACGTTTTTTTTTTTTTATTACCTTCCGTCAAATGCTCTATTGCTCCTGTCTTCCATATCTGGCATTATTGCTCCTCCAAACCTATTAATAAACTGAACCACGGTACCTGAAAAGCAAAACAAAGGAAAAACATTTCAGTTGAATCAATTACTGGAGGAATGCAAAGCAACTAGGTCAATGTCATCTTTAGACCTGCATTATCAGATTTATTTTGGGCCACTTGGGGGCAGCACAACAAGCTGTAAACTTAACATTGACATATTAACCCCCTCCAGAGCGAGGAGCTACATCAGCATTAACTTTGTATTCAAGTATTCAGGTACTAATATTAATCGTCTGCCAATTAGTGCTGGGCAGGTCATGTCATCATCTTTGTGAGTTACACAATATCTTTTTTTTTTTTCATTCTTGAACGTCTTGGGGGTCAGTGGAAACAAGATCTAAACCCAACACTGACGCATTATAACTGCGAGTCCCAGGCCATACAACCAAATCAATGTGCTGAAAGATGAAATATGCTCTGAGCTGGGGAGAACTGCACAGTCGAGAGATAATTATCAGTTGGTTTGTCACTACAAGCTGTAACTTTCAAATTATAATTTCAATGATTACATTGTTAATATCAATATATTACTTGGTGCAGCTTTAAACAATCTAGACGCATTATATAACAATAAGACAAAGGGGGCATTGGGGGCATTTTGTAATATGAAAGTGTGTATTGCTGCAACTTACCAGCACCCCACCTTCTCCTTCTCCAGACCAGGTAACCTATAACCAGCACAAGTAGCAGCACCACAAGCCCACCCATAACCACTCCTAAGGCGACTGAGGAGGATGTTGCTGTAGGGGTTAAAAGATCAAGTAGAAGAGTTGGTGATGGGGAAAACCAGCTATAATAACACGAATAAACTCTCATGGGCTCTTTGGATCTTACCGACTACAGTTACTTGGAGTGACTTGGAGGGAACAGAACAGAAGGACCTTGAGGAGATGTTAACACTGTAGACACAGTAATACTCTCCTTGGCTTTTATAATCTATCAGTGGGAATTCAAAGGATGCCAAGTAGAAGATTGAGTGGCCAAATGGTGCTATCGCTTTAGTGATGTTAAAGTTAGACTCTATCAGATAGAAGAAACCTCCAGGATGTCTGGAATGAGTAGAGCAAGTGACGGAGAAGCTGCTGCCTTGGGTGACGGATATTTTGTCAGGGCTGTAGATCACCATTGCATGAGGAGATGTCAGGGAGATGCTGGGCTTCTCCAATTTCACTACAGAGTAGAAGACAGATTTTTACAAACTCGTTTAGATCATAAAACATGTTTGCAATCATTGCAGTCAAATGTACGACAATCATGTTCAACTGGACAAAGAAAGCAGACAAGTATTGACCTGTGATAGAGAGATCTGCAGTATTTCCTTGAGGATAATAGATGACTTGATTGGGCAATTTCTTTTGATATTCACAGAAGTATGAGCCCGTTTTGCTGAAGTCCACTGTGGGGAAGGTAAAGGTTGCAGCTTCGTTCTCAGAGAATCTTTCCATTTTAAATGAGTCTTGGCTCCTTTTCAGGACAAATGTCCCACCCAAGTGTTCTGTTACTACAGTGCAGGTGATCTCAACTCTGTCACCCCAGTTTACCTCTGGAGCAGGACTCAAAGTGATTTGGGGAGTCTGTAGAGAACCTGTAACAGATTATAAGTTGCAGTTGGTTTTGTCATAACAGCCCACGCAGCTTCATCTCCCAGTTGAGAGGCAATGACTTCACTCACAGATAAAAAATGAGCTAGATCTCTTACCTGAACAGATAGCGCTAGCATCTTCACCATGCCCGCAGTTATTTTCTCCAAAAACGGGATGCCTACAATGTGTGAGAGCGGCCTCTTCGCCTGTACACACCACATCATCAAGCCATATTGGACCAGTGCCTTGGCCAAAGTGGGCACTTGCAGGAGCGGAAACTGCATGACCACAGCCAAGCTGTCTGCATACCACATTGGTATTGCCCATTCCCCATTCATCATCACACACAGTTCCCCACTGGCCTTTATAGAAGACCTCCACTCTACCGGAGCATTGACCTGAGCTGCCGACCAACCGAATCTGTGCTGCATATGAAAAAAAGTGTAAAAGTGTAGTTGACTTGCATATTTGTGTGTTAATACACATTCATTCTAACACACAAAGTGAATGCAATGTATTTTGAAAGTACCGCTTGTCCCACCATCATATCAAAAGCTAATTTCGACAGCATAAAGGAAAAAAGGTTGACTTACAGAAACATAATGATGTGGAATATGACTTGGTGTAATATATGTCACCTTTGTCATGCAAATGAAACATTAAAGCAATAGTTTGACATTTTAGGATATATTGTAATTAGCTTTCATGTTGAAGGTTAGTTACAATAAATTTAACTAGCCAGCAGCTGGTTAGCTTAGCTTAGCATGAAGACTGGAAACGGGGAACCAGCTAGCCATAATATCAGATTTATAATTCACAAAGGGTAGCTGTTTCACAATTTTCTTTCCATTGTCTTTATGTTAAGATAAGCCAACCAGCTGCCGGCTCCAGCTACTTATTTACTTTGGAGAAGTGAGAGTTGTATCAATCTTCTCATCTAATTTTTGACACCAAAGCAAATTAGTGTATTCCCTGAAATGTCAAACGTCTTTAAGGCATGATTGTAGGTATATATAATCATTTTCAACTCAAACACTGTTTTTACTCTGTACGTGTAAAAAAAATACATTTGTGAAACAAACGCTGATAATTTTATCTTATTTGTTTAACTGTGCGTGATCATTTTGAATAGATTATTTAAAAGTCTTTACCTGCACAGAGAGCGCCAGCATCGTGGTCGTGTCCACACCCGGCTCCTCTGAAACCTTTGAGTGAGCATTGCTGAAGAGATGTCACATTGTCAAAACATGAATTGCTAGCCTCGACTACTGATCCAATGCCTTGGCCAAAATGGGCACTGCCGGGAGCATTCACTATATTTCCGCATCCCAGCTGGTCACACACCACCTGAGCTTTACTCGTGGTCCAGTCGGTGTCACACACCGTTTGCCACACGTCGCCATGACGAACCTCTACTCTGCCAGAGCACTCATCCTTACCATTGGCCAAGCGGACCTCCAGACTTCCTGTAAAGTCAAGTAAACTAAAATAATTATGCGGTATCAGACATTTAAAATATATTTGAATGTAGTCAAAGAAATGGCGGATGAATAATATTAAAACAAGAACACTAATGAAGTATACCTTTAACAACATGCATATTTAGGTGACATGAAAGCAACTAAACCGAAATTAACTAGACATACTCTCTAATCTGCAGAGGAAGAGCAGAAAATGTTGCTTCATCTGGACCATGTTCATTTTTCCATCAAGCAATGTGGGCGAGAGATTGAAAGCGGCGATACAGTATGTAGAAACAAGTTTTATGAAAAATTGAAAAACCATACATAAAATAATACAAAGAATTAGGAGAGATACAATTTAACAACAATATGTTTTTTCTTACCCGTGCAGACGACACCAGCAATTGAGGTGGCGTTGCAAGTGTTGTTTCTAAATGGCCTTTGTTGGCACTGACTTAGTGTTGACTCCGGTCCATTGCATCCAATTTGATTGATCCAGGTGTGTCCTGTGCCATGGCCATACTCGGCAATGGTGGTGATCTCATGAGTCTTCCCGCAGCCCAGCTGTCTGCACACCACATTTGCATCATTCACATCCCAGGATTCACCACACACGGTCCCCCACTGGCCTTTGCCGAAGAACTCCACTCTTCCAACACAACGATTGAGCCCATCGGACAACTTCACATTACCTTGAAATGACAGTTATATGAATGTTAAGTTCAAATGTGGTCTATGTTTCTATGTGTGTACTTTTTTGGTCATAATTGAAATGACCCACAATACATTGTTAGTCGATGCTTCGTCCAATTTGTAATTTCAGGACCTCTTTTATTATTCTGTGACTACGTTAGTTACTCCATGACATGTCACGAGGTAAGCTATGGAGTAATGAGGTTGCTGGTCGTTTATCTACTGGACTCATTGCTTTGACTTTTGATAGTCTGGTCATTTGTCATATTGTCATATTGTCTTGACCCGTTGAAGTGAGGTAGTTTAGGCTAGCTAGCCTCCCCTCCTTTCAGAGCCTAGTGATAATTAGTTTGTTAAACAAACGTTTTTTAAGTTTGCAATATATTGTTGAAGGAAAGCTGCCTCATAAAGCTAAAAGAAATTACTTGAGTAATTTCATAAAATAATTACATTCTTTGTAAAAGAGTGATATCGATTAACTGTCAGTTACTGTTCATTTTGTCAACAGGTTGGAGCCGAAATAGAGCGAGTGCAAGCAACATGTCCCGATGTGTGTCATGCGAGCGAGCATGAGATTGTTTGTTTTCCCAAATGAATCAATAAAGATGTCCAAACCTAATACGTGCGACGTGTCACTTATTTGAAAAAACTATCTTTTGGCAAAGTTTCACTTGCACTTGCTCCACCTCAAACCTGTTGTCAAAATCAATCTGTCAGACTGTTTATTTGTGTTTCTTGTGCCATCCAGAAGGTGTTGTCTGTCTGCTGTCTGCCTGATTACATGTGAATGCAGCATGACGCTTAATGTTAAATGCTGTTTCCACGCAAATGTCCAAAAAAGGTTTAGCCAAATCTTTTTGTTTTAAATGCCGTATCATTGCAGTTTATATCTCCTTACACAATAAGTGAGGAGAATTCAAATCTAAATTTAAGTTCCAGCCTCACCTGAACATTTGACAGATGCCTCTTCAATGCGATCCTGGCTGGTCCTGATATGTTCTTCCAGTGTGCACTGTGTGAGAGAGCTCTCTCTACCGCTACAACTGATCCTATACCATTTAAGTTGTCCGCCTTGGCCATATGATCCTGAAAACTTGACGGGATCTCCACAGTTCATCTGTCTGCACACCACTGCAGCTTCATTCATTCCCCAGTTAACATCAGTTGCTGATGACCATTGTCCACCATGGTAGAACTCCACCCTGCCTGAGCACTGGTCAGTCCCATTGATCAGTCTAATGTGAGCTGGAACGCAAAGGGGATAGAATCAGCCACTAGTTGGTGTTTGGACACGTTTGAAAACAATACCTGGGATTCAAATTGATATTCTGGTTGATACACTGTAGTAGAAATAAATGTAATACAACAGTTTAATTCTTGACAATATTAAGCTAAATAGTCATTTGAGGCATTAGGGGTGACAGTTGCAAGTATAACACTGTGTGAAATTAAGTAAAAAACCTGCTAATAACAGAGTAATAACTAAGATGATACCTGAGCACACCACGCCAGCATCTTCACCATGGCCACAGTTATTTTCTCCAAGGGTGGGATGTCGACAGTGCAAAAGGGACGTCTCATTACCGAAGCAGCCTACATCATCCAGCCAGATGTCCCCTTGGCCTTGACCAAAGAAGGCACTGCCTTTGGCTGTCTGAGCTGTTCCACAGTCCATGGCTCTGCACACCACCTGGGCATCTCTGATGTCCCACTCATCATCACACACTGTTCCCCACTGGCCATCATGCTGAATCTCCACTCTACCAGAGCATCGGTCAGTGCCATTGACAAGCCTTAGTAGTGGAACACCTGAGAACAACACCACTCATGTTACAGGTACTCACGAGTTAAAGTCAAATCATGAAATATTAGGCTTTCAAATGTACTCAGTTAAATAGTTTTATAGTTACTTATTGCCACCATTACCATTTAATGCACCGATCTTGTTTTTAATGACCACATGTCCTTTGCTATTCTAATTGAACGGTGCTTCAGCACAGTATGTTGCTGTATTTTGTGTCTTACCTGCACATGAAAGAGAAGCACCTTCACATCTCCCTGTGTATTCTTGAAGTGTGCATTGGGAAATGGAGCTCACATTGCCAGAGCATCTACTTGTGTACCCTTTCAGTCCGCTGTCACCAAAATGGAAGATTTCTTGGGATTGTTTTGGTAATCCACAACTGAGCTCCTGGCACACCACTGCAGCCTCTTCATTGCCCAAGTTGTTACACATTTTTCCCCATTGGCCGTCATGGAAGACCTCCACTCTGCCAGAGCAGCGGTCAGTCCCATTGATCAGTCTGACTGATTCTGGAAAGAAGTATTGTATTTAAAATGTTAAAATGTAAAATATTAACATTTCATTAATGAAATACAATATGTTCACATGATAGGATTTGTGGTAAGGATAACAGACTAACTGCTTCTGAATCTGTGATATTGCACCAAAAACAACTATAAAAAGGAGGAACAGCAAAGGATGATTGCGACAGGCTGCGGGAGGATTTTGTAATTTAGTTGTTTTTTAGTAGAAATTTGAAAGTAATGTTTAAGAAAATTCCTCAATAAATATCAGCAGGGCGTTAACTGCCGATACAGCAGGTGCATATATAGCAGACATACATGCAAAATCCAATCAATATTTTCCATAAATATCTGTTCATGCATCACCATTGCACACAAATGCCCATTGTGATGTCCAAAGTAGATAAAACAAATGAGAAAGAAGCAGATAAAGCTTCTCAGAAATCTTCTCTCTATCCGTCACTGCACAGGGTGGATCCTGATCTCGACGGATGCCCTCCCCCACCTCCACCATATGCGGCCCCACCCCCCGGTCCAGCAGCACAGCAAGGTTCGCCCACACCAAGACAGCCTGACTTCGACCCATCTTCAACCAGCACTCCTGCCAGCAACCTCACGAGCACGATCTCCTTCGTCGCCAACTTCATGCAGCAGGTCACACACGCCATGTCCCAACTAGGCAGCCCAGATAAGTCACATGGGCACCTGGGGACAACTGGAGGCGCAGTGAGAGGTTCCTACCACCACCCATATGACACCAGAAGTGGACGATTACCAAGACCAGACTACTACGCCAGACTCCATGTTGTCTTCAACGAGCACAGCGTCCTTCAGGAGCCTGCAAACAGAGGAGATGCAGCAGGCAACTGGAAGTGCCACCTCAAACAGTGCTTCCTGGGTGGACTGTTGCCACCCTTCTCTGCAGGAGTAAAATTAAGTTGTGTTGGTTATGAAGAAGCCCGCCTCACTGAAATCATCAGACATGTCAATCATGCTGAAAAACAAGACGCTGCTGACAAGAAGAAGAACAATGAGACCAAAGAAGAGCAGCTGCACATGGCTCAACTGACCATGGTCCAGGCTGTCCAGAGCATGGCCATGGGCCAACCACAACAACAACAGAACCAAGGGGGGGTTCAATTTTCTACAGACGTGGCAGAGGCAGAAGACAAGGAGGAAGAGGTCGTGGTTTCCAAGGACGACCTCCGCTGGAGAAAGACGAGCGCTACATCTGCCGCAAAAAATGACATTGGGCAGCCGACTGTCCACAAAGAGATGACAGCTGTCCCAGGGGCCACAGGGACGCTGGATGTCTGACTGAACCAAGATCAAGGGGACATGCGGACAGAAAGGGAGACATCCTACTGCAGCACCAGAGAAGGGAAGTGAGCAACACACAGCATACACAACGAAGAACAGCTTGCTTTTACTAACCACACATATACACCCACACAATAGCAGTTACAGTTATTACAGGATGCCATACAGCACTTAGAGAAAATGACTGAACCTGTACCAGCTGTAGGAACTTAAATATTTACTGTCCCTATGACATTTGTTCATCATGATGACATGGCTCCACCAATTAGAACTAAGCATACATTTTTGTCCTCACAATGTTTTCCTGTAAATCTGCTAGGGAGAGATCTTATGTTGAGCCTAGGCATTAGCCAGATATCTGTACCAGATTGTCTTTAAGTTGTTAGCAATCCAAAAAACAATGTGTCAATGATACAGTCCAACTACCCCTCTGTATTTGTATCAGTGGAGAATTCCTCTCCCCGTTGCAACACACCTGACAAACATGGTCCATGATATTGATGATATTGATACTCACTGAGGCATGTAAATACGCCAGTGACAACTGGTAGCAGTTGCCTTACCCCCTTCTGCCTCCAAACCACTCCACTCCCTCCAACCAGGAGACTTTGTTGTGGTAAAGGACTTCAGGAGAAATCACTGGCAAGCTAAGCGTTGGTAAGGACTGTTCCATATTCTCCTCACCACCCACACTGCTGTAAAGATGGCAGAACGAGCGACCTGGATCCAAACAAGTCACTAAAATATTGCTACTCAGATTGCACCAACGACAGACTCAACCACCACTACAACATCCTTCCCTAATACCAACAACCTAGAGCGATGTTGGTCCAGATTGTGAGCCCCATTTTGTTTGCATTTGGCATAAATCCTATGTGTCTGCACGTGTACCTTGCCAAATGGATACTAGTGTACTGTATATACTTATTATTGATCAATGATGTGATAAAAAGGGGGGATTGTGATGGCAAATTTCCACTATGACTTATCTATCTGTTTTGTATTGTCTGACCACTCAATGTTTTGGCCCTTTTTGTTTTAGTAAGGTTAATAAATCTCATACATGGTCAGTGAGCGTCCTCTCAGGTTGAGTAATATTGTGTGTGTGTCTTAATCAGGGGCATGATGTTGTCATCTTAGATAAGGGGCTGAATGGGGATGCAATCAGTGGACCATTCAATGGTTGACCAATGAGTGGCCACTGTTGTCCAGATGTCCTAGTGATGAACTCCTCCTACCCCACCATTTGCTCAAGGCCTTTATAAGTCGTACACAACCAACACTCTGGGTTCTTCCTCCTTCGGACCGCATTGCATTCTGTGTGACGATTGAACCTTCTCTGCGCAGAGAATAAATACTTTAAAGACAAACTTCTTTTCTCAATGTTTCTAAATTTCAGTATCATAGGACTCACTCGGTACTATTAAATTGTTTTTTCCAGCACACCATATGGGAATGTCTCTTGGATTTCCATTTCAGTATTCATTAGAGATCAAAAGAAAGAAAAGAAAAGATAACTGTAGTATTTCCAGCTCTTATTTTACGTCATGATTTTCCATGTTTCTTGTCATATTGCTCTGACATTGAAAATTGGGGTGCCGTCAGACTTTTCACCAACCGGATTTCAGTAGAATACTGTAATTGAAGTAACAGTATAGTATTTGTTACCTGAGCATACAACACTGGCATCTTCATTGTGGTCACAGTCATGTTCTCCAAAACCTCTGTGTGGGCAGTCGGCGATGGACTTCTCATGACCAGTACACTCAAGATCGTCCAACCACACCTGACCGTGACCTCTGCCGAAGTGGGACTTGTACTTGACCGAGAGAGCACTCCCACAGTTCAACTCTCGACATGCAACAGTTGCTTCCTGCATCCCCCATCTGTCATCACAAATCGTTCCCCACTGTCCATCATTATAGATTTCCAGTCGGCCAGAGCACCGACCAGTCCCGTTCATCAGCCGAATTGGTTGACTGTCTGTCAGTTGGAAACAAAAAAAAAGCCAAGGGCATGTTTATTTAGAAGCCATCCAAAAGAGCAACTCTAACTACGTAAAGTTCAACACAAAATGACTGATGTTGTCTTAACAGATGGATGACTTACTTGAACAGACAACAATGGCATCAACACAGCTCTCATTGCTTTCCTGAAGTGTGCATTGTGAGAGGGAGCTCTCATTTCCAAAACAGTTGGATTTAACGCTACCAAGTCCAAGTGCCTCTCCAAAATATTGCACTTCAGCCTGAGTGACCGGAGTGCCACAGTTCATCTCTCGGCATACCACGTCAGCGTCTTCCTTGCTCCAGTCACTGCTGCACAGTCTTTTCCAGTTGCCATTGTTGTAGACTTCCACTCTGCCACTACACCGATTGCTTCCGTTGAGCACCCTCACATGTTCTGCAAGTGATGTAAATAGAAATTTAAATAAAATCAACAAATGTCCAATGTTTGCAAAATCACGCAAGCTCTACTAAAATTCACTATTAACATATACTCATATTTGTACAAAAATAGTGTAAAAACTGCCATTTACTGTTTTACGGGATGTTATCTGTTGTACTATTTCTTGGGTCTGAGCAGTTGCCAGGCAACCAGCAGTAAATTACTGCTCCCAAACTGATTATGAAGCCAGAAGTTTCTTTGTTTAGCTTAGCTTAGCATAGCATAAAGACTGGAAAGCTGATCTAGCTCTGTCTGATGGTAACAAAAATCTTTGTGTTCTTGTCTGTTTAATCTGTACAAAATCAATAGCGACAAAATCTCTCAATTAGAATAATGTTTGTGTTAAGCTCATTAAAGGCCTTTAAATCTTTGTGTTGTACAGTAGCATGCACTAAACTAAATATCACGCTTGACGGTTTTAATACAAAACTGTTGAATAGCGCAAATATTGTTAAAACATGCAATGACTACCCCAGGTTCAGAATATTTTCAGAGGGACATCACCACTTTTACACAGTTCAGTTAACTTGACACGAGGAGTAGTTTATTAAGAGGAAGTGCATTATGGGCAATGCAGGATCCAGCATTTTTGGAGCTTGACTCATACCTGGGACTGAAAGTCAGGACATCCCCGCATTAGCAGCTTCATTTTTGACCGCCATCTTTATTTTAGTGCAATACTAAATTTCAGGACCACGACTTTAAATATTTAAATTATTTAAAATATCCCTCAACATTATCAGAGCAAAGCTAAGCACTCATGTTGCTTTGTTTGGTTTACCTCCCATCTCTACCTCCTGCCCTTTGCACTTTACATTTGCAGCAGCAGGTCATGTGCTGACCTTGATGTGCTGCAACAACATTACCGCCACAGATAGCAATCATCTTAAAGTAAACCGCAAATTGTCAACTGACAATAAAGTCGTTAGGTCTTTAATGCAATAATATGATCAGTTGCTAAAATAAATGCTGCGTTAGCTGTTTTTCTCAACAGCTTGTATTTTCCAATTCCAAGTGACAGTTCCTCATTTAAGGTCTAAATTGAGGAAGGGCCTTGTAATGCAATGTTTTATGATGCTTGATTAAATGAGCCAACTGTGACTTCAGGTAAATACTTAATTAATGTGTAAAGCCAAAATGTAACATTTTGGGAAATACACTTACTTACTCACTAACTCACTACTCACTAACCTACTTACTGGCGGAGTTAGATCAGAAGATTGATACCACTCATATTTACTCGATAAACATAAAGATACAGCCATATGCTCAGTCTTACCTGAACAGACAACCCCAGCATCTTCAGTGTGGCCACAATTATTTTGCCCAAATGGTCTGTGTGGGCACTTGAGGACAGACGACTCGCTACCAGTACACTGCACATCATCCAACCAGATCATGCCCTTTCCCTCTCCAAAAGAGGCGCCTGTTTTGACCTCAAGAACTGTCCCACAGTTTAACTCTCGACAAACCACGTCAGCGTTGGTAATGCTCCATTGATCATCACACACCGTTCCCCATTGGTCTCTGTTGTAGACCTCCAGTCTACCAGAGCAACGCGAAGGCCCGACCAGCTTTATTTTGTTACATTCTAGAAATGAAAAAAGCACAGTAGCTGTAGGTTGTGTCATTATGAACTCAATAAGGAAAAGTCCCCTTTCATTAAATTGGAGTGTAGAAATCTAAAAATCGAATTAATGCTTGTGTTTTCAGGTATGAAACATAAATAGAACTTACTGACCTGTAATCAGTGGTAGACCCAAAAGACCTAAAGCAGAAAGGAAAATGCTCAGCCCAGAGATTTGTCATGAATATTTAAAATAATATTGTCCAATAAATGCTGTAACGCTGTAATGTCAGCGCTGTGATTTATCAAATTTGTTACGTATCAAGACAGGCTCTTTGAAATGTACCATGAAGTTAGAAAAATACACACCTCATAATTATCCAACATCAACTTTGTCAAATTTATCAAAGAAAGGACATTTGAAAAAATAAAAAAACTGTTTAAATCATAAACTGATATTTTTCTACTATGAGACCTTCACTTCTGTTTAGTGCATATTTCTCGTGGTTTCGTGAGCATGCAAACAAACTGTTAACTGAACTCATGTGATTTGATTTAAGAAGTCAAGAAAAGAAATTCAAAAGGAAGAAGTCAATTAAAAAAAACAGAAACTTACCTATTGATAGATAATAAACAAAATGTAGTTTTTTAGCAGTAATGAAGATCATATTGTGTCTTCAAAGTAGATCAAATGCTGTCGAGGTACAGAAGAAAAAGGTATTGTTAAAAAGGGTGTTTATTCACTGTCTTATTTGTCTTCGGCAGAATAAGAGAAGCTATAGATGATTTTTGGAAGCATTCCAGTTCTTTCCAAAATCTGCAACGGTGATTCAGTAGCCCTCTTACCTTTTAAATCCAACAAGTGTGGGCAGCTGTTTAAATGAGCTCACAATTCAAAATAAAAAAGATGATCCTATCTGAAACATCAGATCCTTGATTTAATAATTAATTTGCATGCAACATAAAACAAAAATGGCATTTTTCATGTTTGAATTTGATGTATGTCATGCATCAAACCTTTAACTGTTCAGTCCTGGTTAATATTTCAGCATTATTTACTCATAATATAATGCAATACATGGGTTATGTTGCAAAACAATCCAGGTCTTTATTATCAATACATGCTCATTATGTATCCAAAACCTCTGTTAGGTTACATGCACCAAACTTTGAGATTTAAAAGGAAATATCATATTTCACAAATCATTTTCTTACCTTAAAAAATAGTTTGATGTCGTTTTTCTGCTCATCTGAAAAACAGAAAAATGATGGTCGGAGCCAAGAAAACTTAATTCACTTAGGTTTGTTCCTTCACAAGCGCGCTGCGGGACAGAACCAGTTCTTGTCCCACATCTTACAGACAACATGACTCATTGGGAGTGGGAATGGTGAACACTTCCCCTTGTGAAATTCTGAGCCTCAGTCATTTTTGTATTTGTTCAGTTCCTATAGACCTCAAAATACTGCAGTATTGTGTCTTCATTTGAAATGTATATCATGTGGAGAAACCAGAATATCACCGCTGCACTTTTGGAGCCACAATTTATGTTGCCAGAAGAACCCCAAACATTCTCAAAGTGCCCCAAAAGACAATCTGGAACAGCCAGACCCAAAATTAATAATTTCAAGGAATGAGTTCATATTTCTGTCACGGTTTAGGCTTTGCCCCCTGTGTTCCTGTGTTCCTGTGTCTGTCTGTCTGTGTCTGTGTGTGTGTGTGTTTCCCTTGATTGCACTCATCCTACTCACCTGCCCAGTCCACCCAGCTGCCTTCAATCTCCTCATCACCCCACACATATATACTCACCTGCTTTCCATGTTCTGGTTGTCAGATCCTCCTTGTTCGTGCCCCTGTCTGTTCCAGTCTTGAGTCTCCCTTGTGTTTGCTTGATGCTCCAGCGTTTGCTCCTGGTTTGTTTCTTTGCCTTTGTTTTGTGATTTTGGATATTTTTGCCTGCTCCGTTGGAGTCGCTTTCAGTTTGTGTTTATGACTTTTAAAGTAAAAACCTTATTTTCAACTTCACCTCGTCTCCAGTGTCTGTGTCTGCGCTTGAGTCTCAGATCTGCCCCTCGGACGTGACAATTTCAGTATAAATAAATAGCATACTTTCACCCATTAACAACTGCTGTATTTTTATTTTTAGCTAAGTACCATGTGTTATACTGTGTTTTTTATTGGGGATGTGTACTGTACTATTATGCATATATTTGATGTACATTAATTCTGCAATTCAGCAAGTTTTGGGCTAACTCTGGCTCATTTATATATATTTTTCTATTGATCATTAAGCACTCTCCCTGTCAGACTAATACAATGCAATAAATGACATTCACAGCAAGTATATCTATTATCTGTTGGCCATGGTTATACCTATCTGTTTTAATTATTTGTGTCAATGAATGTATTTTAAATGTTTTTATGTGGTTTAAGCTTCAGTTAGTTTTCCTGACATTTTGTTCTTACTGAACAATTTCATGAGTCTGTACGTGATGTTGCATAACTGACTTGTCTATTCAGCATTTTGGGTTGCTGTGTTTGGCCATCAGTTTGCACACATAGTGAATTTGCATCCTGTCGCCATTTCACAATATGCCCTCAAACACCCTCTTGATGCTGTAGTTTTGTCACTTTAGTTCAAGTACATCCCGTACATGCTCATTCACATCTTAACTAGCAAACAACTCCTTTGTTTTCCACATACTGTATGCACAATACACAAGTATTTTTTATCTTCTAAAGGAGAAGAGAAACGCTCTCATAGAACTGTGGAGGGATATTGAGCTGTTCGTTGATGAGCATTTTGAGTTGTTATTTTAAGCCAAACAGCATTTTTTACAACAACCCTTTGACTTGTCAAAGTAAGAAAAGCCACAGGTTTTTACTAACGACATTAACGATGACTCTGTTCTACTCAGGTGTCCCTGTTCATCTGTTTACTTACCTACTTGTCTCCTCAAGACTTCAGAATAACTCTAAAATAGTAATACAGTGATCTCTGTCTTCAATCAGTACTCTCAAATGACAGAACTGATGATACTGAGGTTTGGACAGCAGGTTAATCACATGGTGATATCTGATGGTAAATTGACGTACAACTCAATCAACTAATCCAGGGCAACGGGCCAATGAAAACCTGACTGACAGGGCAGGGTGATCATGTCACAAGCAGGATGATCGTCCCACAAGTTCAAAGACAAGTTAATGAGGAACAGATCAAACGTGACTCTTTTAATGAGAAGGATTTACACAAGTTAATAATTCCTTCCTGTATTTGATGGTGTATAGTGTGTCTTGGATGCTGTTTTGATCAAGTTTAATGCTCCCTAATCTGCAGGGTGTAATCAATCCAAAACTCTGACAAATAAAAAGGTGCAAGTGTTGTAAGACATACAAATGTATTGATCCGATCACATACAACAAATAAAGACATTTTTTCAAGGAATACAAAGACAATGTAATCAGTGTCTTCCCACAGGATAGTGGACCTTAGCTTTGTGATTGGTAGAATCTCGCAGAAAAACAAAAATCACTTCAGGAATAAGTCTGAAAATAAGTGTTGCCCGTTTAAACAAGTGTCATGTATGTTATTCAAAATGACATCTTCAGTGGTCCCTTCTCTCTTTACTGCAGTGATGTAGAAGTGTAAGTCAGGATGTGTTGATAAACCGATCACTGTTTGGTGTGGTTTCTGGTGCAACAGACTTAAAACTTTCAGCCA